TTTCAGTTCGGTTTCGGTCAGTCTTGGTCGCTGCTCCTCCAAGGGTGGACCTCCTCCAGACACACGAGAAACACACACACTCACTCATATACTCATTACATAAATATACAAGATACGCAAAACAAAAGAGGAGAGAGAGAGATATAGATTGAAGTTTCTTTCTTCTTCCGGTTCGTCTCACTTGTTTTCTCGGAAGTTCCGAGCGCTCGGACAGTGACAAAGTTAGTGCGAGGCGATGGGGCGTCGCGACGCCGGACACCACGACGCTACCGTCGGACCTCTTCCGCTCCTGCGATCCGTCATCCTCCAGGTCTCCATCCTCTTCGCAGCACTCGCATCTCAACCAGGCGCCGTCAAAGCCGATTGGTGGTAAGTCACCCACAAAACATACAATTCCTACATGTTGCTTAGCAACTACAAAAAAGAAACAATTTAACTTTTTCATAACACTTAAAGAAGTTTTCAACAATTTTAAATTGAAACAATTTATTAAAATACAAAAATGCTTATTCTTAAGAAAGAATCAAGTTACCAATTAAAACAAACAATTGACATTAATAACGTAACAAATAATAACATTAACCTTAACATCAAATTGCTGGAAGAAAAGTTGCCTAGTTAATTCAACAATTTAACGTCACGATTTTTACGATCAAAAGTAAATGCGTCTTAGAGATGTCAAGGAAATCTTGATTTGCAAGAAAAATGGATTTCTTTTTTTATACCTTTGACCTCAGTAAAAGTTGCGAACGAAACAATTGCTATAATAAAAAAACAAAGGAAATCTTCTGTTACTACAAACAATTTTTTATATGTTTTTGTTTTTAATTAAAAAATTAAAACTTTTGAAAACAATTGAAAAATGTAAATTTTGACAGGGACAATTTTTTTTAAATTATAAACTGAAATAAGAATTGAGCAAGAACAAAAGAAAATGTGAATGTTTTTTTTTTGTTTTTCAAAAACTTATTTTAATTCTTGATTAAAGGCGAACGTAAATCAATAATGCAAATAATTCATTGCGTCGTCAACGAATTTTCACTTAATTTCTCTTGATTTTAAATTACAAAATATTTGTAAGAGCGCATAAATCCGCAGTAAATCAAATAAATTAATCGGGAAGAAATCTGCATTTAATCCACTTTCGAAGCGATAAACACGAAACAAACAAAAACAAAAACAAAAATACGAAACGGACGTATCTAGTGGGCGCGCAATCAGGACTGATTTATGAAGAGAAAAAAACAAAAACAGAA